GAATAGGGAGAATTCCTAGGAGGTACGGTTCTTCTCAACTAGGGAAAACACCTAGAAGGTAATGGTCTTCTCAACTAGGGGAATGCCTAGCAAGTAAAACCTTCTCAAACAGCCCTTGTGCTGACAAAGTTTGGGGCATGGCACTTGAAAAATTCAAGCTTCCAAGATTTGATTTGGACATAGTCTTCGTCCCTGTTTTAAACAAAGAAAGCTTGTGAGTTTAAACATGCTGGTTGGTTTATGGTCTTGATTTTGAGGGCGATTGCTCCTACACTTACCATTGTAACTTTGATTTCAACTTGGGGACCTTGCTTGTTATTGGCTAACCACTTTCTTGTCAAACCTTATCATAGAAAACACCTCTAATTCGTTCAAGCCCCAAATGGCTCTATCTGTTGCATTGTGTTCATGAATAGACATTTTACTAAATCTTTGCATTTCACATAAATCCTAAAGCACGTCAATTGTCACCAACCTCGTGTGCATACTACTCTTTCCTGACTTAAGCCATTTTGATGTACTAGACAGACTTCGCTTTGTGCAATTAGAAAGCTGGTAGCAAATTTTGAAGTCTTTACTTGTTCTGAGAAAACAGAATCAAGATGACTTAAACAAAGCAAGAAGAATAAAGTTAAGGGAACAACAGAAAGAGATGACATCTAACAAGAAAATCACCAAGTAGAAACTTATTGGATGTGGATACCAACTTTAATGACCATGACACGCATTTTGGATTACGTGGCCTAATTTGTACAGTAAGTTTAATGTTCTAATCTTGTTATACCTCTAAGCCATGAAACTGGGCTTCAATGCTCTGATCATCTCTGATTCACGATTCTTATTGGACTTGTAGTTCCCGAAGGGTTTTCACCATCAAGGCTCTCTCATTTTGTTCTTTCTCCCAACTTACTGCCTCCTTATGGTGCCTGTGTAGGTTTTCACCGATAAGACTCTCTCATTTTGTTCTTTTCTTCCCTTTTCCTCTCGTTGTGCAGATGACAAGACATTAACCATGATATAAATATCATATACTCCTGGGATGGCTAACTCGGCACTCTTAAAGATTATCTGGGAGGTCTTTTTTGGACTGTAATGAGGTTTTTGGACCAGGTTAGAAAGAGAGGATATCATAAAGTCTCAAAATAACTAAGACAACATGGTTAATTTATTTACAACTTTTGGAATCCATTTTAAAACTTTGCCCCAATTTCTAAAACAAGAGAATCTTATTCTCTCTTTTTTTTGTTTTTTTTTTAGATGGAATTTCTAAGACAAAATGCCCCACTCTTGACTTCGTGGGACTATGAAATATTTTATTTAAAGTGACCGAACCGTAAGGCTGCCTATGTATCTTGTTGTAACAAGAATTAGGTTGAACGTAGTTCACATGAATACTTTTTGTTACTGCTATTTTTTTTTCTTCTTTTTTCTTCTTTTTATCTTTTTTTCCTTTTTCTCTTTTTTTGGGACTTCTTTTTTTTCTTTATCTCATTCCCTTTTCTTATCTTTTTTTCTTTATTTTCTTTCGGGATGAACTTCTAAAAAACCTTATGGGCACATGGATTTTTTTTAGTGACTCTAACTTTATTCCAAAATAGGGGAGATCAAAGAAATCAGCACTGGCTCAAAAGGGTATCCAAGGGTATAAAGTGTTTGGGAGCTTAAGATGGCCTCCCAATCTTTGAAAATGCCAAGTACAACACATGCAACTTGAGGATGAAAAATAAAGATCATGCACAATATTTCTTTTGTAACTTCGACATTGATATCACTGATATGCCTTCCATTCTCTTTAGTGCCTTGTCAAGTACAGAACTCTCGTTGGGTGATTTTTTCTTCACAATGGATACCCTCTGTCAGTTTGGGACAAACTCTCTTGGCTTTACCTTGTAACTTGAGATGCACTTGAACTCAAAGTTGCTTGCTTCAAATTTTTTGGGACGCACTCTCTTGTAACAAATTCTTGTCGTCCTATAAACTTCCCAAACTATCTGGCCCAGTTTCACACAATTTGGGCTTTAAATGACCTCAAATGTCCAAATCTTTACTTATTTCCCTCAAATATCCCTGTCATCTTCAAACCTTATTTCATGATTAGACTAACGTTTAAGACCTAAATGAGAATTCCACATGCATGTCATGCCACTTGAGTCATCATGAAAAGAACTATAAAAGGAAAAAAGAACTAAACAAAAACTAACTAGAAATAATAGAAAATAGGAGATTGCTAAACAGACGGTGAAAGGGTTCGAACAACAAAACAAGCAAAATAAACTGGGGTTACAATACTGGAACAAACCTAGATAGCACTAAACGAGGTAATAAGACAAGTTGGGCTAGGAAAAATAAAAGGATAGAAGGGTTTTAGTCACAAGACAATATCCGAATTACAACCCTGAAATAACCCGGATAACGGAAACGCCGACAAAATAAACTACCAAGACCCTTCATGGCTAACCAAGAAAGGAGTGTTTTTTCAATTACCAAGCTCGACATATTAGCCACTAATTCGCACATCGACATTACTAGGACCTTCACAAGTCTCCATCACATTGACCTTAGCAAATTTCTTTTGGGTCCTCTTTGACGACTCATTCTTGAGAGCAACTTCTGGAACCGAGACTGATAGCGCTGCAAATTTTACGGCGAGTGGCCCTTCAAGGGATTCAGAAGAGTTATCATATTCCTTTTCAACACAAATCATACCCACCATATGTGTCTCATTATGAATAGGCAATGGACTTTGGCTAGTGACTGCTGCATCTAGATTTTGCACGATAATGTCACCTGTATCAACAAGCTTTTAGACTGCTCTTTTTAGATTCCAACACTTTTCTATGTTGTGCCCCGGGGCATTAGATCAATATGCACACCTTTGAGAATAATCAAAATTCTTTGGAAGGAGGTTCGACATTTTTATCTGAATCGACTTCAACATGTCCAATTGCCTCAATCTTTGGAACAAACTGGCATATGATTATCCAATAGGAGTGAAAGACTTTTCTTTTTGTTGCTGCCTTTTCATTTTGTACTCTGGCCTCTGTTGGAACCTCTTACGGGTAGGTGGTTGATATGCTTGTAGAGGTGGGTAAGACATTTGTGGAGACGGTGCTAGCCATTAAGGGTTTTATGGATATGGAGCATATGGCGGTGCATTGTGGATAGAGTACTGGGAAGGTGAGGTATGACTTTGGGGATTTTATGGAGGAAAGTTAGCATTGGGGAGGATTATCTAGAGTACGAGGATATTCATGGGGTCGTTATTGAGGCTGAAAGCGTTGAACAGGAATGCCCACTAGATCCTATAGTTGGCAGGGCTTTTCTATTTCTCTTCCTTCCCCCCAAACGTACTGAGATGTTTGGAATGTCTTCCGTAGTATATTTCAATGCACAATAGCTCATGATTTTTCCTGACTTGATCCCTTCTTCCACCATCTCCCCCATTTTTACCACATCATTGAAAGACTTACCTAAAGCTGGGATTAAATAACTGAAATAGGCAGGTCCCTGGGCTTGTAGGAAAAGCTCAACCATTTCTTCTTCTTCAATTGGGGGACTGACCCGAGCACCTTGTTCCCTCTATCTGAGCCCAAACTCTATAAAACTTTCCTTGGGTTTCTTTTCCATCTTAGATAGTGAGGAGTGGTCTGGGATAATGTCTAGATTGTACTGAAATTGTCGAACAAAATCTTGAGCCATGTCATCCTATGCACGCCACTTACTGACATCTTGAAGAGTACACCATTCCAAGGCTTCCCCAGTCAAGCTCTCACTTTAATACGCCACCAAGAACTCATCTTTACCGCCAACACTTCTCATTTCACTGCAATAACCCCTCAGATGGGCTGCTGGATCTCCATGCCCATCATATAAGTTACACTTTGGCATTTTAAACCCCGTGGGAGGATAAACATCATGGAACATACACAAGTTATTGTAAGATATGTTATTCTGATTTCCCATCCCTTGCATGTTCTTTAAGGATTGTTCTATACCTTTCATCTTCCTGAATATCTCATCTCGCCCTTCTTTTCCTGTGAACTTTTCATTTTCAAAATGAGGCTCATTCTGAGAGATATAATTATAAGTGTCTAGGACCTGGTGAGCCAACTCTGGGGGTAGTATTGGGTATCAAGAGGTTTGAACTGGTGTTCACTGTTGGATCTATGAAAGAAAGGTTGTTGAGAAGTTGTGATCGTGGGGATAGTGGATATGGCAGGAGGGCAACTTTTGGGAAAAGTAGTTGGAGGATGAGTGATGGAGCTACTAGGGAGGTTGGGAAAGTTGTGATAAGCGGAAAAATCTGGAGAGTATGGTTGATCATCTGGCACTATGACTGGAGTTTGGGTAAGGGTAGTATCTAGGAAGCTAGGTGGTGGCAGGGGTGGTGCCTTCCCAGCCATCCAAGCCTAATACTTGTCCGCCATGTGTTGTCTTAACATCCTTACCTCTTCAACCAACCTAGTATCTTGTTCAACCAATTGCTTTTGGGCATCATTATCAACCAACCCAATTCTGTTGTCGTCTGCTATTGTCGTTCGACTTTATGTTGTAGGGAAGAGTTACCAGTTGAAGAACCACAAACCAACCACCCTTCTCATATAATGAAGATAACAAAGAGGAACAAAATGAGGTCATCATGTTAGCATTAGGGCATTTAACGACAAATAGTATCATATTATATGCAATGCACCTAGTCACAATTATAAGTTCTAAAACGACTTCGAAGGTACGAAGGTCATATGGCATTATCCCAATTTCACTTTTCTTGCCCCGTTTCCTTCTTCATTTTCCTTTCTAGTACCCCTTGGCTTATTATTTTCTTTCCTCTCGTTTTCTTTCTGATTATCACTCTTTCCTTTCCTCTCATTCTTCACATCCCACAATTTTTTTTTTTTAAATTAAATGATTCCATCGAACCCTATGTAGGTTGCCTACGTATCATGTCCCTCATGACTCAGATCAAGCATAGTTCTGGAAATGTAATGGACAAAATAAACTAGAAATAAAAATCTTTTTGGATTTTTTATTTATAACTTTTTTTAGTTTTCAAATACATAATAGGAAGTATGATAACAAAAGATTCGACAAACCCAACTAAATTATGACAAACTGACACCAGATAAAAGACTCAATACTATTGGAAAATACTAGAAAGTAAAAGATAACATGAATGACAGACTCAAAACATAAAAAGTCGCCTCAAACAAGCTCCTTAATGCGACGGTCCTGACTGGAATGATCTTGGGGTATCTATCATGCTCGAGCTTTGGTAAATGAATCCATACCTGAATGAAAAAAATAATACCAAATATATTAGTGACTCGAGACACTATGTGAGACCACAACACCTGCTATTGGACACATGCAAGACATAATTGGGCTATTTTTGTAAAATAACCTACATGGCCAAGGGTGGCTATTAGTGCAAACTCAACAAAGGTGACCTCAAAGACATGGAAGCCTCACTAAGGCTTATATGGCTTCAAACTCCCAATAATTATGGCCCTAATAGTTACTTCGCAAAAATGACCTATTTTGCAAAAATGGCCGATAAGGCCAAATGCGGCTAGAGATGCAAATTTAACAAGGATGGGTCTTAAAGTAATATTACACCTAGTTGTGGACTCAAGATTCTAAGACATGGGTCACTGAACCATTTCCGCAAAAATGACCCCATTTTGTAAGCATGGTCTATGTGGCCAAAAAGTGGCTAGACATGCAAACTCAATAGGAATGGATCTTAAAATTGAGAGGACGCCTTGTTGTGGACTTAGGACTCTAAGACATGGGATAACAAGTCACTTTGATAAAATAACCCTATTTTGCAAAATAACTAATTTGGCCAAATGTGGCTAGACATGCAAGAATTGGCTACAACCCCAAAAGCCAAGAACCTAAGACTCACTAGGAAGACCGGACCCTATGTGGGTTGCCTACGTATCCCGCCCCGAAATATGAGAATCAGGTATGCGTAGTTCGGAAAGATTGGATATGGAGAGAATTTAAAAAAAACGCAGATTTGAAGAAAACATATTTTTTTGTCTTTTTTTTTTTTAAATGATGAAACATGTAAAATCTTTTGGATTTTCTTTTTCTCTTTTTTTTTTTAATTTTTTTTTTGGAAAATGATGGGAAAGTGCAAAATCTTTTTGGATTTTTTATTTTCATTTTTTTTGGTCTTTTCTTGAAAAAGTTGTGAAAGAAAAATATAACTGGCTCTACTTTCTTCATCTTTATACTTCACCCTCTTTTCTTTCTCATTTACCCTCAACTATTATTGGTCCGTCAAATGAACCCTTTACCCTTAAAGAATGCAGCATGTAGCACATAGGGATGATTAAATTTCTTTTAGAGACATGGGCCCGTTTTGACATAATTTAGATAGGCCTCATATAAAGGAACACAGTGCCTAGGACTGAGCCCTGCTAAGTGTAAATGACATGATGCAAATAAGCATGACCTAAAGGCTGACCTATGTTTGGGGTTAACTAGACAAGACAATCTGGGGCGACACGTGGTCGATAGCGGCTGCTCTAGCTGTCCGCCCACTCCACGCTCCTACGCCACCCCTAAAGACACAGGTGACTCACAAAAAGGCTGTGTACGCTCAAACGTTCTCTGGAAGACTTATTGCTGAAAGAAGACCCATCGTTATGCAAATGATGACAGTTATAAAGCGGTAACCACATAAGGAAAAGCGATAAACAAATAAACAACAAAACGGAAAATGAGACAAACAAACCAACTAAACAAAGTAAATAAAGAAAACAAACACCTCAACCGAATATTCTAAAAGCCAACAAGATCAAGTATCAGCTCGAACCTACAACTCCCAAGCAGAGTCGCCAAAGCTGTCACACCCTTTTTTTTTACCTCAATAACCCTTTTTAAAAATGCATAAATGTGTTTTTTGAAGCTCAAAAGGGTTTTCCAATTAGAAAGTGACAAAAATTTATTTTCAAAAGGATTTTTCAGAGTCACCACCTGACATTTGGTTTTGGTGTGCCAGGTCACCTGCTTTTTTTTAATAACAAATTCCCTTCAAAACACATTCGACTCGTAAACTAGTTTGCACCAAAGATTCAAGGTAAGGGGGTTCATTTGATTCGGGGAGAAGGTGCTAGGCATTTCCCGAGTCCCGTAACTATTACGGTTGCGTATATGATCAAGTTGGCCTTTAACATATTCAATTTGAGGTAAAAAAATAACACATAAAAGAAAATAAACACAAAAGAGGCTCGAGGTCGTCCCCACCTAATAAAAGAAAATATATAAAGAAAAGTAAAATCCTATCCTAAATACTAATGTATACTATACTTTTTCATGAGGTTCGTCACAACCTCCAAATACATGATACTACGGAGCATACCCCGGATAAAAATATATACAATGTCTACGGGGCATTCCCCTGAATATAAACTAAAGGGAATGACCTATTACCTCGGCAAAATAAAATAAGCGGCCTGCAGTTTGTCTATCCAAGTGTGATCGACCTAAACATGCTACTAGTGGTCAATAAAAACTAGCAATAACGAAACAGAAATATTATCACGTCACATTAACCCAACTCTATTTCCTTTCAATTTCAAATCCCACAGCTCCTTTTATTCAACTTAACTCATTAGTTCACTCTTTCATTTTATTGATTCATGAAACAATACAAATTAAATCACATTAATTAAGATAAGCCCCAAATTTTCGATAATGGCACATACATAGAACTTCATATTACTTCAAAAAGATAACATCATCAGAAACATATCAACAAAAAAATCACATAATAAAATTAAGGGATCCAAGGGAAGAAAAAAAGTATTGGACCTTTAAACTCAATTGTTTGGTAGCACAAGACTGAAAAGCGAGCGACGAAAGCTAGACTGAACCTTAACTGAACCAGGAACACTATTGACCAAGAGCCGCAAAGGGGACACCTCAAAAAATCGAAAATCGAACTTGACTCAGATTCGGACAGCAATAACTTTGAAATCGTTGAACTCTTGATCCGAAATGGTGTTGTAAATTGGTTTTGTGACTGGTTTTGATATGTCCATGGATGGCAAAGCTTAGAGGTTCATGGTGCTTAAAGAAAACAATTGAGTCACTGGGCAGCAGAAGATGATCGGGGTCGTGGAGGCGGCTCGAGATGGGAGGAGTTGGTCGGCGGCTCTTTTACCAGCGAGTTTTTGGCGGGGGAAGGAAGACTGGTGGCGGCTCTAGGTCATGGGGGGATTAGGGAATGTGCTGAAGAAGAAGAAGGGTTTGAAAGGTCTCCTGAAAAAGAAGATAAGGTCACCTTTTTTTTTTTTTAAGGAAATTAGGTTTTTGGTGGGTTTAAAGGGTATTGAGCTTTGATTTAGAAAATTGTGGTCCATGTCTTGTTGGGTCTTAATTTTGAACTAAAAAGACTAAAAAAATATAATGTATTTATAAAAATATAAAACTTACTCTTAATTAATTAAAATACACTACCAAAATAAAACTAAATATTTAAACACTAAAAATAAGTTTAAAAACGTGACAGGTCAAAAATTGTGTACTTACAGTGTTGAAGTGCTGACTGGAGTTTGACATTTTTAATCCTGTAATCAAAGACACTTCAAAGAACAAGCGTAAAATAGTGTGTGTTACGAAAATTTGTACCAGGCAATCACTATTGTTCTTAGCCCCACAGTGAGCGCCAAACTATTTATCCTAAAAACGGATAACAATTGAATTTATACTGTGATTTTAAAGACACGTGATTTCACTTGGCACAAACTGAGTTCTAACGTAAATAGATATTGAAATTATAAAATAATGCAAACCAAATGAGACGTCTAGCTTTGATCCTCGAGCTAAGTCACCCTCGAGCAAACAAGTATTTTACTGGAAAGTATGAACAAAATAGCAAGCTATTGAGAGCTTAAGAAGACGATATATTACTTTATGTAACTTGAATGTGATCCCTTTTACAAATGATTAGATCCCCTTTATATAGTAGGGGAATCCTACTCTTGGTACAATTCTAAATACAGTAAGAAATCTCATGATTGACTAATTAATCAGCCTTTTCTTGATACGTGCCGAGATTTTTGCCGTTATCCTCGCCCGATTGCGGATATTTTGGTTTTTCGTTATTTGGCCCGGTAAGCTTCCTTCGATCTTGCTCGATCTCTATCCTGCTTGGCCCCGATCTTAGCCGACCTCGATCTCGATCGGTCTCAGGGTCTCGAGCTCAGCTGTCTACCTTTATACCGCGGTCCAATATAACATAGGGTCGAACCTTGGCCTGCCTCGTTCCAGGTCAAACCCGATTTTGACCGTATACAGGTTTCAATAGCGTGGTAGCTCGATCCTCGATAGAGTGGCGAATTAAGTTGTGCACGAATTGGTTACGTGAAAGTTTTAGAAATATATTGTTTTGATAGAAAGTATTTTTATCCAGCTTAATATACTTATTAATCACTTACACGACGTGAATTTAAATTGGTCGAACTAATTACACCAAAAGGAATGATAATATTACAACAAGCAATCCTGACCCTTAAAATATAACTTCTTTCTTCGAACTTGACCGAGCATATGTCACCTTTTATATATCAGCTATTTTTAAAAAAAGTTATTTTTCAGGGTATCACCCTTTTATCATTTCACTGTTCTACACCTTAGCACATATACACGTATCCCCCTTCACAGAACTTTCCTAAATCCCTTCCATTTCTCCGTTCCACCTTCGGATTCCTTACAATTCTGATCGACCATGCTCTCAATTGAGTCATGGAATTCGGATACTCACTCTCAATGTATCCAATTCTACCAAAATCTTGGCCCCAAACAAAAAAAGAGAAAGAAGAAAAAGAAATGCTATTTGTTATACAGTTATACTCCATCTTCCGTTTCAAACCCTGGCGCGCGCGAGCTAGTTTTCTGTGTTACATATAGCGGTGTAGATTAGAAAGCAAGTCAGGTGTCAATTCCTCACCAATGCTTTCCCAATTTTCACTTTCTGTTGAGTCGTCATTTTCCATTACTCTCTTTTCAAAATGTTGAACAAGAACTGGGCTTTAATGGCGGTTTTCTCATTCTTGGTTGCGGCATCGTGACAACAATGGCAGCGCAAACAGAATCTGTGCCTGGTAATGTGTCTGAATTTCGTACGCCCCTTCGATATGATTATTATGAGGAGAAATGTGGGAATGTTGAGAACATTGTGAGGAGAATGATGCTGAGAATCGTTCAGCTGCAACACAACGCCCCAGCACAACTCTTGCGCCTTCTTTTCCATGATTGTTTATTTGGGTCCGTCTACTCTCCAGTTCCTGAATCCTTTGATTAAGTATATTCAATTTCTTATTTTTTGTTGTTTCTTTCCCAAATTTTAGGTGCTCTTGTATGTGCAATGGTGTTCTTCTGTTCAAACTTTATATTTAAAATTATTTTTGTCATCTGTTACTGTTTTACTGATTCTTGATATGTGCATCGTTCATGAGTTCTTTTTACTGGCTTTTGTGGGATTGTATATTATTCATCTCATTTTCGCATCAGTCTTGGACACATATTTATCTGTTCATGAATCCATTGTGCGCACACCTATGTATAATCGTTTCTTTTAAAAAATGTAAGCATGATTACATCTAGAAAAGGATTTAGTACCTTTAATAATGAAGCAGGGGAAGGGGATTAAAGAGGCTTGCAATCGTATTAAAAGAGACTAATGTCTTATGCTATGTACTCTACTGCTGCATTAATGTTGTTTCACTTTTAATTTTTGGAAGCAATTCTAATTCGTATTATCAAGAAAATGATGATAATTGATCTATTTTGTGTCGTTCCTTCTGTTATTTGATGCAGTTCTTAGTTTTTTTAGGTTCTACAATCTCAAGTGCATGTGACCTCGATACACAATATTTTTAGTATTTTTACCGTTTGTCACTACTATTCCTCTGTTACACGTTCCATGCATGTATCGATTGTGAATTCATTTTCTGTATTTCTCTTATAGATTTGTAGACATTTCTTTTATAATTAGCCTTGTGATATTTGTTATCTTGCGTCGTGTGAACTTTTCGTGCGTTGTCTTAGTCTTTTATGTTAAGTTCCTTAACTGCTTCAATTGGGTCAGTTCCTATTATCCTCCCAATATTTAGAAGTGTGTTTTTACTGAGTTTCAAATTATTTGCTCTATGCAGACTTTTTGTCCTGGTCTTGTCCATGTAGACGTATATTGACAATACTTGGTGGATTTTTTATTTCTTATTTGCATTGGTTCCTGATGCGCGCACGTGCAATTGTACTTCTTTGATGTACTTGTGGATGCTTCTCTCTTAATAATTAACCGCGTATCTTGATTCGTGCATTGTGCACTTGTGATTCTTCATATGTTGTCATGTGTCTTTGTGCCTTGTGTTCGTCGTTTGATTCAGATGGAGGTTTTACCAGATCTTGGATCAGTTGCCTTCTCAGTTTTATGCTTATTGAGTTCCGAATATTTTTAATGTATATTTACCTGTAGTTATATCCCTCTGTGTATGTATCCACATTCCTTTACCCACTTCTCCTTTGGGTAATAAAAAGAGGGCGGGATGGCATTACTTCTGAAATAGAGATTAGAGTCCTAAGGGAGTCAAGAAATGATATTTAGCAAACAAGCTAAGGAGCTCAGACTGATTGTGAAAACAACTCCAGACTATGAAGCTTTTCTTCTTCTTTTTTGATTAGGCAGAGTTTCCGGACAGTGAATTTACTGTTTCACTAATTTCAGGGTTGTGATGCATCTGTTCTGCTAGCTGACAGTAATAGCGAGAATGGGACTGTTGAACGTGACGCCATCCCAAATAGGACATTGAAAGGCTTTGATTTCATTGATATGATAAAAGATGAGATTGAGGAGGCATGCCCTGGGGTTGTTTCTTGTTCTGATATCCTTGTCCATCCTTGTCCTTGCAACAAGAGATGGCATCGTTCTGGTATGAATTTCGCCATATCCTTTGTTTCTTATAATCCAGCACCTTAAGTTTTTTGCTGATTTCTTCATTATTACTCTTAGTACTTCATTTCTATTTTACATGGATATATTCTGTGTTCCTGTTCAAGGAGCAATTGGAGAATAGAATCTGGCGTGAAATGGATGTAACTCATGCACTAGCATGCAATCCATCTTTCTTGAAATAGTTTAGTTAAACGATCCTAGTGCATATTCAGATATTTAATACATAAAAAAAACATTTTACACCTTCTAGTGGTATCATTTACATGTCAACAGGGCATTGTTCAGAAAATATGGGAATATTCTTAAACAGTGCATTAGGGTATCTTCTAGCTTTGCGGACCAAATCGGCATTTCAACTCCAAGTATTATATCTTTGAAGTAGTTTAGTTGAATGATCCATATTCAGATATTTACATAACAGAACATTTTACACCTCTTAGAGGTATCATATATATGTTAACAGGGTACAATTCGGAAAGTATGGTACAATATTTATAAACAGTGCATTTTAATATCTTCTAGCTTTGCGAACAAATTGGCACTTTATCGTCAAGTATTATATCTTTAAGCTTAAGTATAAAAAAGTATTATATCTTTAAGCTTTCCGTTTCACATGCTGCTTTTGTACATTTTAGGCCGGTGGTCTATATTATCCTGTGCTTACGGGCAGAAGGGACAGTAAGGAGTCATTCTTTGATGAGGCAATGGCTGAAATTCCACGACCAAACGGGAATATCACTGAAACACTTAGGCTGTTTTCGCTAAGAGGATTGATGAGAGGGAAACGGTGGCACTACTTGGTAATCTTCTAATCCTATACTTTAATTTTCATATGGTGGATTCTGCATCCTTTTTTGGAACACTTGTACATCTTTTGAAATTTCTCTTCTGTTTATTTTCTTCATCATCCGAAGGAGGACATAACATCGGGAAGATTGGTTGTGAATTCATTCGGCCAAGGCTCAGTAATTTCATGGGGACAGGTTTACCTGATCCAACGATTCCTTCTGATTTTCTTGAAGAGTTGATGCAGAAGTGTCCAGACGATAACAACACCATCAACAATATGTTCAACGAACATACAGCGAGGGGTCTGAGTGGGTCTGCTATATCATACTCCGAGGGACTGTCAGCGGTTTCGTCGTTTGGAACTTCATTTGATAATCACTATTACAAGACTCTGACAAGAGGACGAGGGCTGCTGTTTGCTGATCAACAGTTGATGGCTAATGAAAAGACGGCAGCGGTGGTGATGGATTATGCTTTGGATGAGAGGGCTATATTTAGGACTGAGTTTGCTCATGCCATGGATAAATTGTCAAATATTGGCGTTCTTACTGGATTCCAAGGAGAAGTTCGGCACAGTTGCTCCTGCTCCCATCTCAATTCTGATCAACGAGAACTATCGGTAGGAGTAGCCTAGTTATTCATGACTTTTCCTAGTGCGTGATTTAGGGAAAACTTGCCCGGCATATCTGTGAGTGAATTGTTTCCTTTGTATGCTAATGATCTAGTTACAATGACTAACTGATTGAACAAAGTTTGCCATGCTTGCATCTTTTGTACGTACAAATATGTGTGCCAATATAATATCCTGCTTTGAATTGGGAATTGCCTTCTACAGTAATAATTAAGGTATATGATCTTATATCATCTAACTGCAAGGAAAAGGGTTCAAATCAAGAAGAAACTCAAGAAATATATCAAGATTTCTGTTAAATTTCTGGGAGCAATAATTATTGAGCATTATCACCTTTATCTATTGTAAAAAATAACTGTAGCATGTATGAAAACCTTTTTCCCCCCTAAAGTAATTCCAATGCCAGTATATACATATAGGAAATCGAACCAGTTAGTACATGCTATTTGATCTTAAAAACTTGCCGCAAACTTATAAAAAGAAGGGTAATTGAAGGTTTAAATCTTGAAGATAGCTGTTAACATCATGCATAAACAAGAGAATCACAAAGTAAAAAGGAGGGAACACTGTTAAATTTTCTTGCAATACTATCCTTTAAAATAGATAACCTTACTCAAATTTAGGCGGCAACTATATTCAGAAAGCCGCAAAATACATTGAAATCTAAATGTTGTGTGTGAGGAATTAATTAAATGCGCAACAACAAAAAATCAAATTGATCTGCAGCATTACTAAAGGTATAGTATCTTATATCATCGTGCTGCAAGGAAAAGGGTTCAAATCAAGAAGAAACTCAAGAAATTTATCAAGATTTCTGTTAAATTTCTGGGAGCATTGGCTCAGCCAGTATCACCTTTATTGATTGTAGGAAATTGTAGCATGTATGAAAATCTTTTTTCCCCCGGTAATTCCAATACCAAGATATATAGGAAATATATCGAACCGGATATATAGTACATGCTATTTGATCTTAAAAACTTGCCGCAAACTTGAAAAATGAAGGGGAAGCTAAGGTTCAAATCTTGAACGCCACTCGTTAACATCAAGCATAAACAAGAGAATCATATACAGAATAATTATAAACATGAAAAGTTGAAAAACTATAAACATCTTAAAAGGAGATTATCCAAGATTTCCTTTCTTTTAGGTTCTTCATGTAACCCCGAACTAACCAAATCTTAGGTGGTCGACGAAGATGAAATTATAATAACTCTTGTTGTGTGTGGATCATGGGGTTCAAAGAAGTGATATCTCCAATATAAGATACGTGAAACTACATACCTACCATGAGCAAACTTTGTTTTGCAAAGAAGAACAGAAAGAACGTAAGAACCGTACCTATTACTCCTTTGTTCTAAGCAAGCTGTTCATTCACTGATCAAAATCATATCTGAGAGGTACGGGATCGGGTTGTAGACTAATCATCGATAATAACCATCTATGTCTCGGTCCCGTATGCCCCTCAGATATAGCTTCAAACAATGAACTTGTTCTTCCTTTCAGCTAATCAATATACTACTAGGGTTAAAGTCACTATCCCTATATATAAGAAACTACCACCGCCTAATAACTCTAGTTGCGTGGATCAAAGAAAGATTTCCAACACAACATAGATGAAACTACATAATATATTTAGAATGAGCAAACTTTGTTTCGCAAACAAGAACAGAAAGAATGTAAAAACCGTACCTATTACTCCTTTGTTCTAAGTAAGCTGTTCATTCACTGATCGAAATCATATCTGAGAGGTACGGAATCAGGTTGTAGACTGATCATCGATAATAACCATCTATGTCTCGGTCCCGTATGCCCCTCCGATGTAGCTTCAAACAATGAACTTGTTCTTCCTTTTCTCTCTAGGCAAACTCCGCTATAATTAATATACTACTAGGGCAAAGTCACTATTCCTATATATAAGAAACTACCACCGCCTAATACATGGTAATGTTTCTTTTCGTATTAGTAATACTTATGAGCTATGTGTTGGGAATAAACCCCTTACCAAAATAATATTCACGGTAATAAAGCGGAATAATAATGNCATAGTTTATAAAAAAGTTAGAGCTTGGGTTGGGCTGGGCTAGCCCAATCCAACCCGCGTGGGTTTAGCAATTGACGGGCTGGGCTAGCCCACTATTTTGATGGGCCTTATAATGGTCAGTCCACTCCAGCCCTATATGGGCCGCGGGCCCCCACGTGTCGGCCCATCATTTTTAAAAATATAATTTTATATTTTTCTTTAAGTTCTGACCTAAAAAAGATAATTACTTGAAAGTTAAAAAATATCTTATTGGAAAAAATTCGCAAAACTTAATAACTTTTTATATTGTTCCAATATATCACAATAAATACTAAAAAAAAGTAAAAGAAAGGACTATATTTCATTCACTAAAAGTCAAAACTTAAAACAAACTATTCAAGAGAACGTTCATGCTGCTTATGAGATATCCAACACATCATCTTCATCAAACACATTTGAATCCGCTTGTGACAAGGTTGTCTTAACATCTTCACTTTCATCTACAATTCATATGCAATATTAATTAGTTAAATATTAAAAATAATTAAATTTTAAAAATTAATAATATTTAAATTCACATAAAAAAATATTACTAGTTTGAGTTCGGAAAAACTAGTGCAGCCAATTTCAAGTAGTAACAAGTGTTTGGACATTTTCATAATAAATNACGTAGTATAAGAATTATGATACTGTATTCTTAACTGAAAAATTCCTTTATATCTAATTGCTATCCAAGACTAGGGTTAATAAGTTAAAAGAATACCAAGAAGGAAATAAAGAAAGACTTTATAAGCTGTTAGTTATCAAAATACTTAAAAAAGACTTTATAAACTGATAGTTATCAAAATACTTAAAATTCGTGTAAAGGAATTTTATAGTACTAGTGTTAAGGTACACGCGTTGCGCGTGTATCCCATATTATTGCATACAAAACTTTAAGAAGCTAACACCGCTAACATTATGAAATATTCTTTTTAAAACTAAGAAGAAATACAAAAGATAAAAGTGCAAGTGTCTAAAAATTATATAAATTGATATGTCCTATTTAGCTAATTCAGTAAATAAAAAAATGTTGTCCTACGATTATTATTGGAATTGTCATTAAACTTGGATTAGAAGAACCTTGTCAAAGCATACTGTCAGAGGCGGATCCATAAAAACTAAATTAGAACGGATTTTAATTTGCTCGGTGTAATCTAGGTTTTTACTACTTAAGACAATACACTTTTGAAAATATGGGTAAATAGACTCTCTCTCTCTCTCTCTCTCTCTATATATATATATATATATATATATATATATATATATATANGAGTTCGGAAAAACTAGTGCAGCCAATTTCAAGTAGTAACAAGTGTTTGGACATTTTCATAATAAATGCAACTTCTATACTTTGTAAGAACACGCCACCAATGCTAAATGGTGATTCCGATGGTACAATGGTAATAAGAATGCTAAATACGTCACGCACCATCATTGAAAGATCGGGATATTTTCTAGAATGGTCCTTCCAATACATGACAACATCATCTCTTGAAACTTCTCAAGATCAAGTTTTGATTCCTATTAGTAAAGATCCAATTCTGACTTTCCATCTCTAAAGGCAGTATACTTTTTATTTTTTATATATTTTAAATAAATATTTTATTAGACCCACGGGCCGGCCGGCCCCGGCCCAGCCTCAGTCAAGCCTCACGGGCCACGGGCTTACTTGGGTCGGGCTTAAAAGCCTCATTTTTAAACGGGCTCCAAAAATTCTAGCCCAACCTTGCTAAATCACGGGACGACTCTAAAAAAAGTAGTCCTAAAAAGTTAGCACGAAACTTTTCTAATTTTCCTACCTCAAAACTATTAACTAAAGAAAATAAAAACCAAAACTTTTAGGTAAAATTTTGTTAACTAAAGAAAAACCCCTCCTAAACCTAAATGGAGAACTCAAAAAAAGAAACCTTTTAGGAAGAATTTTATTAACTAAAGAAACATCCTATGAAACCTAAAAGAAGAAATTTAGTACTCCTAAATACAAATGGCGTTGAATGAAAAAACTTTTTCTAGTTTATAAAAATTAGGAGAATAATTAATTGACTATTCCTATATAGTAAGAAATTAATTAAATAACTATTTCTAAATAGTATGAGATTAATTAAATGATTATTTCTAAATATTAGAAAAATAATAAAATGATTATTTTGTCCAGTGTGAACTCAATTTTTAAAGGATAAAAAAGACAGCGACATTTTGTTAAAGGCATTCGTTCTTTTAATATATTAATAATTCTAACTTTTCTGAAGTTTGTGAATTTTAATTTAAGAAGAAGAAGAAGAATCTAGTATTATTTATTTGATTATTCCAAATAGATATGTTACATGAAGGTGTGAGACACGAAATAGAATAGATTATAATTTTTGTGAAAAACAATAATAACACTATAGATGTAGGCTTATTTTGTTCTCCAATGAGATAGGTGACATTGTCTTTGAGAGAAAGTGCATATAATCGACAACAAAAATTAAATCACCTCAAAAAAGACATCATATTTTCTGCGTGTGACAACTCTTGAAAAAGTCTACTATTAAAAAATATAATAACATCATAACAAGATGGATAAATAATACAAGTAAGAAGCATGCTAGATCTCATATTTTGTTCTTGATTGAAATACATGCTTCGAGTAATTTTTGAGAGAGAATTCATATTATATAAAAAAATTAAATTACCTGTTGAAAAACCGATATTCCAACTATAGCTAAGGTAGTTCAAACTAAACGTGATCCCTCATTATAGAAGAAAAAAGTAGTCCAACATGTTCTTGTCCATCTTAGATTGGTATGGTCGTATCCATAAAGATTTAACCCTAAATAGATGATAACTCTTGGAATGCCGTGAAACTTTAGTCGTAAGTATAGCCTTATAAGACAAGTATATTATATTTAAAATCCTAAATATTAGGTCTTTTTACATAGTACAAGTAAGGAAGGTTTTAATAACTAATTGATCAAAAAGTCCTAAATATTAGAAATATAATTAAATTACAAATTTGACCAATATAAAATCTATTTTTAAAGGATAAAAAAGGCGAACAATATTTCACTAAGGGGCTTCGTGATT